GTTTTTAGCAAAGACCATCAGCAACTCTACTTCCTCAGGAGGCTGTAGAGAGCTGGACTCAGGAGCTCAGTCCTGAGGAACTTTGATCTCTGTGTAATGGAGAGCATTCTCTTCTTCTGCATCACGGTGTGGTATGGCAGCTGCACTGCTAGTAGGAGGATAGCTCTGCAGAGGGTGCTTTAGGCGGGACAGTGGACTGTAGGGATCAGCCTTCCCGCCACCTTGCTCCACTACACATCACAGTGTGTGCAGGATGGATAAAGGACTCATCCTGCACACAGTCTGCTTCAGCCTTTCCCCTCAGGCAGGCAGCTGAGGAGCATTCAGAGAAAGACCACCAGGCTCAGAAACAGCTTCACTCTGAAACTATTATAATCCTGAACTCGAGCAGCACTTAAAGGTATAGAGGACGATCTTTTATTTCCGGGTGGATCATCAAAATAAGTTGTCCTCCCAATTGTCAATCCTTCTGGTCATATGTTTAGGTGAGGCTGCCCTACATGCTCGCCCTGTTAGCTATCTTTCTATCTTTTTCAGTGCATGTGCACTGTCAGCCACATATGTGTGGTGAGCTACGGTTTCAGACGGTCATTGAAGCTCACCTTTTTCACAGCGTTTTATTTATAAATGGCCACGGGTTGTAAGAGAAAAAGAGAAAAAGGCCTCAGAAGAGGCAGATATATCCCAGAATGCTTTGCGCAGAGAGCTCTCCTCACTAAGAATTATGGGATTTGCTGTCCCAGCGGCCCGCTGTCACCATAGGCTGTTGCTAACTGACAGCGGCGACTAATAACAAAGATATGGTACCGGCACCACACAGTGGAGGAGGAGTTACGTGACCAACGGGGAGCAAAAAGCTAAATTTATCTAGTGCATGCTCTTGCAAGTGGAAATTTTTTAAGTGAAGAAGATGGGTCTTTTTAAAAAATTTATTGACAATACCTTTATTTCAGCTTCATCTCATTGTCTTTTTCTAAATTATTTAGTCCAAATTTAATTCCACAAACTTGCAAATGTGAAATGGTATGACAATAAAAAAGGATTGAATTCTAATATCAACTACACAAACTTTCTTGTCCTTGTTGAAGACAAGCATCGCCGCTTCGTGATGCTGCCATCGCCATGTATCAGGGGAGACATTCATGGTAATCAGGGGTTCTTGTATACAGAATTTTGAGTGTTGGTTTTAAATCAATTTTATAGCGATCTCATTAGAGCAGATCTTTGGTGAGTCCCCAATATTGAGCCCTTGGCAGCTTTTCTAATAAATATTATTGCTTTTATGTGTTTAGGTGAGTGCTAGTGCAAAGTTGTGTGAAGCTTTTTCTATTTGCAGTTGATAG